AATACTGTAAAATGGGGATGATACTAGCATATAGTTAGGTCTGCTGCTTCTGTAGCTGCGTTATCACAGGAAAATAATGCAAGCCATACATGTAACTTAAATACCCTAGCAGAGGCTGGAGAGGTGTCATAGTTAAAGAGTGCCTGCTGCTCTTGCAGAAGACCTGATTTGGTTCCCAGCACCCACATGGAGGCTTACAGCTGCCCATCACTCCAGTTCTGGAGGATCTGGTGCCATCTGGCCTTTGCAGGCACTAGGCATGCACACGGTACATATACATACATGCAGAAAAAACACTCATACACAGAAAAAAAAATACACAGCTGAAATTCATTTTAGCAGTGTTTTCTTTAACTCACTATATCTAAAATATTTCAGTATGTAACTGATGTAAAAAGTTATTGAGATACCTTATGGTCTCTATTAATTCTTTGAAATAGTACGTGTGTTTTACTGCTGTAGACTAGCCATACTTCAAGCATTCATTAGCCACATGATGCCTGTAGCCAGTGTAATGAATAACAGTTCTACAGTATGTGTACCATTTGTCTTGCTATAAGATGAAGTGGACAGTTCATGAATTGCTTTCTTAAACAGAAATCTTTTATAGCCTAGCACTTTCAGTGCTTGCTGAATAAGACGTGAATACTTTAGAAATGTAAATAAATAAATTACTAATTCCCAGTAAACTAAAAATTATTGCCTCAAAGTTATTTTTGTTAAAAGTACCATTTTATAGGACAGTGAAAGAGTATAACCTACCACATTACTGTGTTGTTGTTTCCTGTAGCTTATAGCTTGTTAAGAAAATGTGTGTGTTGAAAATTCTTGCCATAATGTTACCTCCAGTAGATACTGCTGTTTTAAAACAGATAGTTTCATGTAAGTGACATTTTGGTAGGAAATACTGACTTTTGTTGAAAATTCTTGAGTATTTTTCCAATGATTAAAGCAATACTCAGCAAAAATAATAGACTGTAGTGTTCTTAGTTCTTAACTATAAACCATTGGAGTATTAGCATGTAAACGTCAGGATCTCTCCTGTTCCATGCACACAGGGTGTATTTGAAATTGGGGGTTTCCAGGTGTAAAACGATGTCCTAGTTAGCAGGATGTTCCCTCTTCGTCTTCCTTTCTTTCCTGTTGGAAGGTCTCTTGACTAGTACTTGGTGATTTAAACTGACACCTGAGGTAAGAATGCAGAAGAGCAGGAAACACCAGAGACTTTGCCTCGCTGTCTCTTGAGCTCTTAGATCTGAGAGTTCCCTTAGATGTGGATGCACCTTTCTTACGTTTATGAGAGCACAGCAGCATCTTTAGGATCAGATGCTAATTTCTTTTAATTAAATGGATGTTGTAGCTTTCTGAGCCCAGTAGAGAAGGTAACAGAACCAGAGAAGCTAATGGAAATCTGGATTTGATGAGAATTTACGTGGTCACTTGTCCAGCCCTTCCCCCTCCCTTCGTTTCTTATTGTGAGGCTGAGGCCTGGTGCATGCTGAGACTAAGCTGTGCTTCTGGCCCCAAAGTGATCTCACTGGACTTCTAGAAGTATGGAGTGGTGAGGTCTGAGCATAGAAGAAACGTGAACTTCATTCTAGAGCATGTGACTGGACTTAAAAATTTCTTCATCATTGTGTTTCCAGAGATTTTATACATAGTGCTATGTATTAAAATTCATCTCTTGCAGTCAACAAATGATGTATTATATTGAGATCATTTTTAGGAAGTTTATCATTTTGTGAATCTATATGTATGGGATTAGAATAAAGAACTGTGTTATAAATAAAATGTATATTTATTTTTAAATTACAGTGGAGTATATCTGAATAAAGATTTCTAGACACTCTTGTTACTGGTCATTGATCTTGTTTGTAAGTTACTTTAACCTTAAGTACTGACAAAATGCTTATTTATCTGAATTTAGAGAATGCCATTTAACCACTTGAACTGTTTAAAAACAAAAACACAAACCTGGAAAGTGAAACACACTAACACACACTAATCTGCCAATGTCTCCTAATATTAGCAACAATACTGCTAAATATTTATTTGCAATTTACAACCTTACATTGCTGTAATAACATACCTGAGGAAATTAACTGATTAAAGAGAAGAGGTTTATTTTGGCAAACAGGTCTGAAAGTTCTAGTCCAGCGTCCAGGAGCCTTGCCTTGGGCCTCTGGTAATGGCAGCATACTAGTGAGGTAGCATGTGCTGGGGAAAAAACAAAAACAAACAAAACCCTGCTTACCTCCTGGTCAGAAAAAAAAGAGAGGATAAAGCCCAGAGAGTCCCGTGTTCCCCTGGTGTTCCCCACTGACCTGTGTACCTCCCATTAGACACCACTCACCACCTCAGAACCACAGGACCGAGTTTCAAGTACATGGACCTTGGTGGAGGCATTCAGCATCCAAATGATAGCAGCTCTTGCGTAGCTTGGGCAAATGGATATCTGCTTTTATTATAATAACAGGGCCAGTTGGGCACATTCAAATAATTGTGCTAAGTTGGTTAAGGGTAGTGGATACTTTAATTTGTAATTGGAAGCAGTTACTAGAATACCCAAAATCTAGGTTATATATATAGATATATATATATATCAACTAGGGATGGTGTAGTATGTAATAGAAAATATATGACTGTGAGGTAAGCGGTGGCATATGAGTTTTCTCACCTAAACATCTGGTTTATTTACCTATCCCAACTAATGGCTTTGAGAGGTGATTAGGTAATTTTAGTGACTGCTGTCATGTATGGACAGTAAGAAGGCAGCCTAAACCATATGCCAAACCTCCAGGCACTTTGATCTTGGACTGGTCATTTCCTCCAGAAATGCTTGAAATATCTTTGTTCATAATCCACCCAGTTTATGGTATGTTGTATGCAGCTGGAATGGACTTAGACATCTGTATATAACTAATCACTAATATTTTTCAACTGAAGAATTTAAGAACAATGTTTCTGTCGTTGTCTTGATCTTCCTTTTAATAGATAATAGACCAGCCCTGGGAATTGATTGCAAATGCATTCAAGTTGAAAAGGCAAAGCCTTGGCACTTTCTGTCCTGTCTTTCTGTTCTCTCACCACCACCACCACCACCACCACCACCACCACCACCACCACCACCACCACCACCCCACCACCACCCCATCCCCACCCCCCGAAAGCTGTAAAGGCGGCTGGGAGCAAGAGTCAGGATTTCCAGCCTCTTGGAGAGTGTGCCCGTGGTGACTAAAAAAACAGCTATACCATTGTCCACAGGTTGAGCTTTGGAAGGTAGATGTGAGGTTTCTCTGGATACCATATAGGTAAAGGATGGCCCCCTGGCATTGTAATGAAAACATTGTCTTGCTGGATTAAGAAGAAACACTTGGGAACCTCTTCTGTTGGCAGGTGCTGCATGCCTGTCATTCCCGTAGGTCATGAGATGAGGGAGCTTCCCCTCGGGTTAACCCGTGGCTGGGGCTCCATGGCGTGTGCCAGCACTATTCCCTTTGCATTTTTTTCACGCTCCTGTTGCTCTGAGCAGAATATCCACATTTTATGCATAGGTTTTTATAACCAAGAGATGACACAGAACTTTAAAAAGGATGCACTACAAATGTATCCCAGGAGAGAGAGCGCATACCCATCCCCGTGTGCTACCAGATATGTGGATGAATGAACTACAGGAGTTAAGATAAAAATATGGAGGAAGCAGGTATACCAAAATCAATTTTTTGTCCATTAATATTCTTTCCTGGAGCATTATAATCCTGTTTATGGTTTGCTTTGGTGAAATTTCTTAAGTATAGGGCAGCTGACTTTATTAAGGGAAGTCTAGAGGGTGTAAAACCACAGTGATGTACACATAATGAATGAATGCCAAGTTGTGTAACAAATTGATTTACTAAGAGCCTTCTTTTTCTCTAGTATTTTCCTCCATTCCCTCAATGGAGAAGTCTTTGTTTAAGATATTGGCCTTTTCTCAACAAAGGAGGAATCTTGGATGGAATGGTGGTGAACATAAAAAACGTTTAATGACTAATGCAGAAAGGTTTGAAAATTTGTAAGTAAAAATCCACACTAGAGAAACAGTCAATGGCTTTTGGAAAGTATTGTGGTAATTTTCTGCTTTTCTGTATTCTCATATCTTTATAAGGAGAAGTCAGTTTTCGTATGAATTGATGCAGTAATGTCCAGCAGATATTTTAGTAGTGAGAATTGGGCTGACCATTGGGAAGCACTGCTGTCCTCAGTCACCACGAACTTACATGAGTAGTTAACTTCCTAGGTGTGTTAACTCGCTTTAAATAAAATGGACTTATTAGTTGAAATAATTATTAATGTGTCTTTCTAGCTTTATTAATTCCACCGTCTTACTCTTTAGGAAATAAATATCTGGGCATGTGTTGTAGGATATTATTTTAACTAGGCAAAGATGTGTTATATTTGTTTATCCTGCGGAATATAACTGTGTAAAGCTGTGTTACTTTTGTTTATGCTGCATTTGTTTAATGATAGAAAGGTGAGTTGCATTTGTTTCACCTTGTCTTCCTAAGGCCTGGTCTGATAAGAAGCTGAATGGCCAATAGCTAGGCAGGAAAAGGATTGGCAGGGCTGGCAGGAAGAGAGAGAGAAAAAAAAAGGAAGAATGAGAGGAGGAAAGAGGGACATGCCCGGGGCAAGGATCCAGGCAGCTGCTAGCCAGTCAGACAGACATAGAAACAGCAAGAAAAGGTAAAAAGTCCCAAGGCAAAAGGTAAAGAGAAACAGGTTAAAAGAGCTAGCCAGAAACGTGCCTAAGCTATAGGCCGAGCATTTAAAAATAAGACGTTTCTGTGTCATGATTTGGGAGCTGGTTGGTGGTCCAAAAGAAAAAGGCTGGTACAGGCATGCAGCTATTAAAAGTACTATAGAAAAGTACAATTTTATCTGCATTTCAGTTCTAAGGAAAATGTCCGTGGTATGCCTTGATTCATGATAACCGTTGAAATCATAGAATGCAGAAGTTCTGGTGGGCTCTTAGATGATTTATTATCACATTGTACATGCAGATTCCTTTACAGATTGGCCAGCTGCAAGGCACTGGCTAGCTTCTTTTGGCATGCTCTGACAGTCTGGGTGAACTTAACATAGTTACATTGGTCCTCACTAAAGTCAGTCTCTACAGTTAGCCTAGCAGCATTCACCTTTAATTACTCATGCCACATACTCTTTTTCAAGTTCTTGGCCAACACCCCTACTATCACCAAATGATCATATTTAATCATTGGATTGGATTGTCCAACCTGCATCCAAGAAGAATCCAGCGAGCTGTCAAATGTCCTGGACTTTCAGCAATTGAGAGAGAGCCAATGGCTCTCTTATTCCCTTCGTAGAAAATGTGAAGTCAGGTCAGTCACCCACACTGAAGAACACAGTACCTCAACCATTAGCAAATAGACATGGTGTTGTTGACGGCTTTGCAAACATTTTATGTATTTACATTTACAGCCAAGCCAGGCTTAACTTAACTTACCTAAAAATATTATAATTGTATCTCTGTATTAAGGAATCAATAGCACCATTTTGACACATTTAGAAAGTGAAATGTTCACAGCCAACCATCTTAGCTGTGTAAGGTATTTGTACTTTCTCCTCCAATTCATACAAGCTCTCGTTTTGGGTTAATGACTTGTGATCTAGACTCCGGGAAATCTATTTTCTTGCATATGATGCTATTCTATACTCCTCCGTGCTGTCACTGAAGCTGCATATGTCTCTTTAGTCCAAAAACCTTGCAACAACCCATTAATGCAAATTTCACATCTGAGAAAGTCTCAAAAAGACATCCCAGATCATGCCATGTAAGCCTGAAAACCTCTCTTATCACGTCTTCCTTATTCAGTGTCCACTAACCTGTGTTCTGTGTCCTAACAGTCTCTTTACTCCTTAGCATTATTTCCCCCCTCAACCCAGCTGCGAGTCTTTGTCTCTGTCTCTCATGTCTCCTGGAGTAATGTAGCCATCCACTATCCACAGACATTACCAGAAATAAACAAAGATACACAAGCCAGAGTATTCACACTATAATTCTAATTGGTAATTTACACACACACACAAAAAGTATCTTGAAGATGAATGGAAAAATAGTGCCTCCAATAAGAGATCTAATAAATTCTTTAGATTTTTATATATTTTATAATTATAAACTTATAGGTTATATACACTGGACAGAAGAGGGTGAAGAATTAAGAACGTGGGAGGACCAGCTTTTTGGTTTGAAGATTAGCTGTGTACTCAGAAACACGTGTGTTCACTGTGTTGGGTGATTTTTATCCTGCTTAGCTATGTACTAGGAGGCTAGCCAAGTAGCAGGGGCAGGCACCCTGAAGAAGAGCTTCGCCCACAGCTGTCTGGAACCAGAGAGCAGCAAGGAGTTCGGCCTGAATCTAAGACTGCTGCTGCCCACTCCACAACACTTCACTGTAGCTCAGCCTTTCTCATCGAAGGCCAATCCTTCTCGACCTGTGTTTCTCCACTTGGGCTAGGCCATTCCTTAGTCAGACAGGTCCCTCTTTTTCCTCCTTAACCGTTCAGAATCAGCCTTGCACGTTCTTGGCACAAGAGACCATTTTCCTCTTCCAAACCCTGCTTACCATCTGCAGGTATTCAGTACAGGCTACCTGTGTGATCACATGCCTTTTCTTTAGGATGTCTTAGCTACCTGAAGAGTGGCACTGGGCTTAATTCATTTCTGGCTCCTCGATTGCAAGTAATGGTTCCCCTGAAAATTTACTGTGGGAAAAGGGTTCCTGGAATGGGCTATTTCTAGGAAGCTTGTGCTATTAGTGAATCATGTCCTTAAAGTTTGCTTTCCATGGAGGCCAAATATCCTCTAAGCCGCACTGTTTAATTTCCAGAAAGAAAAGTAGCTATTGATTTTGATCTACTCATGTTAAGGTTTTTCAGTCTATCAATAACTGCCTTCAAACTTGGAACCAGCCAGAAGATAAGAACGGGCAGTCCTAACATATGCCACCTTCCCCATCTCATTCCAGCAGTTTGCCTCCTGCCCATGCTAACCACCAGGGCTCAGAGGATGATTCATGCCTTTTGTTCCCACATTCTGTAACGTCCCAGTGTCTGTGTCATCTTACTGAGTGCTGCGACAGTTAAGAAAAGGCCATGCCATTCCGTCATACAGTAACTGCAGACCTTCCTAACTATAGGCTGAGACTCGCTTCCTACTTAGTATCCCGTTTGTGACCTTTGCAGTTACAGATGTGGAAAGTCAAACTGAAACAAGCCACAAATGCCTCAATTTCCCCCAGCAACTGGGTTACTTGGTTCTCTTAAGGCAGATACTTTGGAATGGACAATTTTTCTAGGTAGAAGTAGACTAAAGGGCTCTCCTTGGGCTTCTAAATTTGCTAGAAAAGTAAAGTATGTACTAAAGGCTCTCTTCACATGAAATCTAGAACACTCGGAGGAGCAGGGGTATAGGAAAGTAGCTTTGAAAAGTAAAGTTGGCCGTGTTCTCCTGAACTGTTGATGAGCAAGACATTTTCATAGACTAACACACGATTTCCTAAATGTTAATGAAAATCCAATTGCTAGAAAGTACTTCATTGAACTGAGAAATTCAGAGCCTGAGGGTGCTCATTCCATAGCTCGCTAAGCAACAGGGCTCCAGGTGGACTTAAATGTGAGTGAACATTATTTATATGTTTTTTATTTAATTCACATTGTTTTGAAAGTTCCTAAAACATGTTCAAACAACTAGAAACCCACTTTTAACTCGTCACACAAATTTCCTTTTTCAGAAATAATGTAATTTTGCATTTTTGTTCACATGGAAATTTAATTTTTCCTCTTGCACAACTGTTGTGAGACCATTTGCAATATCAAAGAAAGCTACCTAACCTCTAAACAGCAAATAAGAGAAATAACCCTAACTAGGGCCAAAACACTACAGTTTGGAACATGGATTCCTAAAGGGCATCACAAAGCATGAGGTACAATGAAAATGAGTTGTCTTTTTGTTGTTGTTGTTTTTATAAAGGACCAGATTTTAGGTGATGTAGATTGAAATTGATATAGGTCTCTATTGAAAATATTCAGTGTGGTTCTAGTAGCTTGCAAATAGACAACAAACAAACCCATAAATGAGTCTGACCATTACAATAGAATGGTTTGAGTTAAGATAGTCAACCAAGTCCTAAATTAAGATTTGCTCTTTAAGTCATAGTTTGCTAGAGTCCTGAAATCTGTTCTTTGGAGATTTAAATTTAGTTCTTTGGAGAACCATGTGGAAAGAGTTTAGTTTTATATGCTCTCTTTAGCTTCAGGTGTCAACTTGACATATTCCTGAGTGATATGAAGGGGTCTCAATTAGATATTGCCTTGATCAGACTGACCTTTGGGCATTCGCTTGATTACTAATTGATGTATGAGGGCCCAGCTCCCTGTGGACAGTACTGTCTGTAGGTGGGTGGTGGGATGGCGTGGCTGGCTATATAAGAGCTGAGCAGATGGGCGAAGCAAGACAGTACCATGTTCCTCTATGCTTTCTGCTCCATAGTCTGCCTCCAGGGTTCCTGCCATGGCTTTCCTTGACTGTAACCTCTAAGATGAAATAAACTCTTTCCTCTTCACATTGTTTTTAGTCATCACATTGTTATTTTGGTGTTTATCACATCAAAGAAACTATATGTATACAATGTATATTGAGATACATACATGTTTCTCATACGACCAGAGATAAAAGTGGTTAGAATCCAAACTGGTAAGAATATTAACTTAAAACATCAGCCTGATAACCCATTTTGTTTGTAACTTTCTTTCATTGGATTTGTCTGTACTAAAGTCACTGTTTCCACTCACCAAACTCATGAGATACTTACAAATTTTAAGGGGAACAGCAATATCTGTTGGACATAGAATGACAGGCTACTTTTATGCCATTTCAACCAATTAACTTAGGAGATGTTAGAACATTTCTTTTGGTTTACAGATGATCATAAAAATATTACTAAAGCTAAGAATGCAATGAGCAGAAAAATAACCATGAATATGCTATTTAGTAACCTATACAAATCATGTATTAGTTACACTGATACACATTTAGTTGCACAGGCATATAAAACAGCTCAAGTTAAAAAGAGACACCTATGAGATGATAATTTTCAAAGTATGGTCATACTTGTGTCCTTTATAAAATATATTATTATCCAGGTTTCAAAGATGATGAAGAAAGCATACATCTAGAAGATTATTATCATCCATAACTATCAGAATTTGGAGATAGCTTCAGGAAGCAGTTTTGAAAAGGGTAACATCTATTGTATTTGAGTATCTTGAAATAATAATTTAGGTGGAAAATAAAGATTTTTCAGTCTGACTGAAGATTAAGTATCTGTCATTTTCAACACAATGATCCAAAACAAAGATCAGATTGGATATAACTTCTATATCTATGGGTCTTGCAGGTCAATCTTCAGACTATGTTGAAAACAATTATGAACAATGTCATTTTGTATTCTTAGAATTGCTCATTAACGCTTCAATCTGAACTATGGGGCAACAAAAACCTGTTTCTCTAGCTAGACTGGAATGTTCCTGCCAGAACCTTAGAGAACCTCTCATTTCCAAAGTGAGGCTGATGTCAGGACAGATAAAACAAAACACTACCTTGGGATAAGTTGGGGTAAGGCAATGCAAAGAAATGTGGTTGGCAGGATTCCACTTGCCCAACATTGGCCAAGAGTAATACAATATTTAGAGTCCACTTTCAGTCCTTCAGAGCAGGAGAGGAGATTTTCTGAGTCTAACTAGGTCAGATGCTGGGAGTCTTCTTGGAAGCCGATTCCTGCAGAAGGTCAGACTGGTTTCGGCAAGGTTCTGACCTTGCCCTAAGTGGAATCCTGGGCCAGATGCTTGGGAACAGATTGAGTCAAGCCTTTCTGAGTGCATCACAGTTCATGTATGAAAACGGATATAACCAATCATAAATTGTTTGCTACTCCTTTCCAAGGTAAGTATAATATGATTGGACTGGGTCTACATTGTTTATCTCAGGTGACATTCACAAAATAATAACGACAAAAGCATGTCCTTATATGGAAAGAAGTGAACTTGGGTATCATGGCAGCCCTGGGTGTGTAACTAATATATATGTCCCTGCCCCACTTCTCTCCTTCTACCCTCCTTCCTCTTTCCCTCTCTTCCTCTCTCCTCTATCTTACCTTCACTTTCATGGAACTTGATGGCCACCTTTTTATAAGGAAGTATAATGACAACATTTTTAAGCAGAAACTTTTGTACATTTTCATCATAGGGTTGTAAACACCAGCATAAAAATTACATTTGTATGTTAAAAACACACAGACACTGCAGACATAGTCTAATCTTCAGCAGCGTTCAACTGGTAAGTGCTTAAATGTCAGCAGTGACCCTGATCAGTAATGTATCAGTGAGAAACATTAAGGAAATTGGAATATGACCTAATGGACAGTAATTACAAAGACATTACAAATTTCATTACATAAATAAATGTCTGGAAACTTTGTGCTGTCTCAAACCTAGACAACCAGACCGAGTACTCTCTAAAGATGAGCAGGTTACACAATGGCATTATAATTATGCAATTGGCTGTGCTGTATATATGTAATGAGCCTAGTGCTAATTCACCATGATGACCTCTTTTAAAATCCTTATTTTGTATTTGGCTTTGTAAGAACAATCCTAGAGCAGAAGTACCTTTTTTTTTTTTTCCTGGCATTTCTTGTCTTTTCCCAATCTAAAATGCAACCAGCTGCTTCTGTGCAATAAAAAACTGAATCATGAAACAAAATGGCTCTTGAAGCTTCAACCTGGAGGCAGCTCATGAAGAATAACCTTGCATATGATACTGGAAATAGCCAATAAAAAATGCTGAACATTCTACATTACAAAATGTCAAAATAGTATGCAATTGAGGTCCCTTTAAAAGGCAGGCTGCTTCTTTCTTTATAAATCTGCCACTAAAAATGACTATAGGACATTGACAATTATTCTAAAATTAGTATGTAAAAAATTCCAAAAGTATTTAAAAAGTCTGTGGCAGCTTTAATTGGGCCCTTCTACAAAAACCCTACAAGTACCAGATGTGACCATATTCCCATTTCACGGGTATCTGGCATATCACCATCATTATAACATGTCCATCATGCAAGTGTATTTTTCAGGAGGCTTCTAGAAAGATTGCCTCCAACAAGAGAAGGATGTCCAGCTTAGCCCAGTGTGGAGAGACTGGATTCTGTGTAGTCTGATCAGTGGGGATACATGGAAGGCCCATAGTCGTTTGTGCTAAGTGAGAATACTGTTGGCTCTAGGTAATACTTAGGAAACTCAGGATGAAGTCAGGTTTCCAAGAGCCAAATGGGGTTAAGATGGGCTCTGACCAGTACATACGCACACACAATTTGGCAATACCTAAGGAAGTGTTGCTTTGATGTAATATTGCAGAACACTTCTCCAAGACAAAGTGTGTTTAGGAGTAGGCAATATTTATGTCTCTAGTACATCTGTAACTTTGGCATCTTAGCTGCTTACCAACTTAGCAATGTGGAAAACTGTCAGCTCAAATCTAACCACAGCTTTGCTCAAAGAAAAGTGCTGTAGACTAGACCAGTGTGTCTGCCATAGGAACCACTGGCTACAGTGTGTCTCCTGACCACCTGATGTAAACAGGCTTAGACTGCTAACTTAGAAACAGTATAAAAGTGACAAGTTATGTCATTCATTTTTGTTTTGATGTGATAATTTGTGTACACTGGATTAAAATGTACTATCAGCATTTCATATTTTCTTTTTAGAATGTAGCTAATGGAAAACTTAAAGATGCATGTATGGCTGTGGGAGTGGTGGCACATGCCTATAACCTCAGATCTTGGGATGCTGAGGCAGGAGGATCACTGTGAGTTTCAGATCAGTCTGGGCTACAGAGTGAGTTCAAGGCCAGCCTGGGATACATAATAAAACCTTGTCTCAGAAATTTTTTATTATGTGTCACTTATATTTACATTAAACTTGTTAAATATAAGCACTTATTCCAGAAAATAATTTTACAACTATTCTATTCTAGTCTCTGATTTATATGCTGTTGTGGCAAAAGAGTTAACAGTTTGAGAGACCCATTGAAATCACAGTTGGAATTTCTGGATGGGGGAAATAATTGAAGATTGTCCTCTATGGTAAAAGAACCTAATTATACCTAATTATGCTAGTACTTCATGTTCTTGAAATAAAACCAATAATGAATTTAACTCTCTCTCTCTCTCCCTCCCCCTCCCCCATTTCTCTCATCTCTATCTCTATCTCCTCCTCTCTTTGTTTTGGCTTTTTGAGCTTGTTTCTCTGTGTTGTAGCCCTGGCTGTCCTGGAACTCACCCTGTAGACCAGGCTGGCCTCAGACTCAGAGATCCTCCTGCCTCTGCCTCCCAAGTGCTGGGATCAAAGGTGTGTGCTACTCCTTCCCACCTTAAAACTGTCATCTTTTAAATGCAGATGTTAATTTATTATTCTTTCTTTGCTGAAATTTTAAAAAACTGTTTTGCTTTGTGACTACATTACAAATTAAGAGTAATATTAGAAAGTGTTCTTTCAAATTAAGACTGTATTCCTTTAGTTTAATCTTTGAGATATTTAACAAGCAATATAAATGTTGACTGTTCTTTAAAAATGGTAAATAAGTATTTTTAGATGGTATTTCTATTAAATTTTTGAGTAATTTGACTTAAATATTTGACTCATTTCCCAGTGAATGGACTTAGTTCTTTGTAAGCATTAGGACAATCTTTACCATACAAGTTACAATTGAAAACTGCTAATGATATTTAGCTAATGAAGTATATAGGTTGTCAAAGAGAGGGAATTATCCTAACACTCTTGAGTATCACCAAGAAGTGGTAAGGTGCAATCATTTAAATAACTGAATTATAAATGCATGAGGGCTTGGCATTTGTAATACTCTTCCTAAAGTGCACAGGGTCATCCAAGGTGTTCAGCCCATGTTGGGATGAAATAAGACGTGGGCTGGGTTTGAGTGATGATATGTTCTAATTGCACCTTCTATCAAGACCCCTTAGTCTATCTTCACTCTTTCCATACATGGGACACTTACCATCTATAGGTTAAGTTTGATGAGGAAAATTACACTAGGGGATTGCTCTTCGAAAATGGAAACCTTAGGAAAGCATTCTTAAAGGTTAAAAATAGCCCTTTATAACACTGAGAATGAGAGTTCTGTGAGGGAATGATTAAAGAGGAGAGAAGGAAAATAAGAGCATAAATACATAATTAAAATCAATTGAAAAAATAATCACCCGAGCTCAGATGAGGCACCTCAAGTCAGCTGCCTGTCAAGGACCCAAATCACAGACCACAGGAAGCAACACATTGTCTCCTTCCCCAAGACTGCTGGGGTGTGTGCGTGACACACTGAAGTGCCGATGCCTCTAACAGCCTGGAGAAACCCCAGCTCTAATTTAATTCCCCAGTGTAAATGTCTGTATATGAGTCAGAACAAATTATCATTATTTTATGAAAAAATTCTGTGCTGTTCATTTTTACTGCCTTCATTTTGGATTTTGAAATGAATGCTGCTTATAAATTAAGAAAAACCACCAAAAATGTAAAACAATTGTTTTAATAAAGTGTTCATTTTCACTCAAGAAACTTAATACTGGATTTAGTGTAATTTCTAGGAATCAAAGAAAAGTTTTTATTCTGAGGGGAAAAAAAATCATGCTTTTAAATTCTAATGCTTTACCCTCTCTGAAGTATGGCTTAAGATTGGTTTTCATTTATTTTTCAAGACAAATAAAAGTAAATTTCTTGATATGGAAAGTTTCATCATCATAAAGTATGCACCCTTCCATTCTAAGTGTGAGGAAAAGATAGACTAGCTTTCATAATGAATTTTAAACTCATGAACAGTATGTTTACAGAGCTGGAGGAGAGAAACCTTCTGCAAACATTTCCTTACTCTAACAACACCAATAATAAATTACCTAACAATAGAATGTATTGTTCTTATTATAGTCAGACATTTTGGCACCAATTTGCGAAACGGACCTTTTCAGAACTTGAAACCTATTATTTGTATAAGCTTACAAATGCAAATTTATATGAGAAATAAAAAGGAATTAATCTTGGTATGTCTGAGTTCCAATTATATATCATTCTACTTAAATTTGTTTATTCTTACCCAGGTTTTATACATTTGATGGGGCATTTTAATGAGAAGCAGGTGAAGGAAAGAAACAACAGAGTTTAATAAATAATATCCTAAGGATTGTAAACTGGCAGAGTTTTATGATGAACACTTTGGATATTCTTGTACACTTAAGAATAAAATAAGACATTGTCTACACACACTTGAGGGGGCTGTGGACTCACGGCCTTCTGAGAATGCTACCACTTCTCAACACTGCAGATGTTTTTGGACACTCTATAGGTGTCTTTTATAACCACCCAATCTACCAAGCTGAAGCCCCTGAAAGCGTTCACAAAGTCATGGGGATGTGTCTTGGTTTGAGTGGAGCTGAAAGGGATTGCCATTTCTGAAGACTTCTAGAGGGTATAGGATGTCTAAGCTTTCAAATAAAAATTAGTTTTCCATTTCGCTTCAAATATGTGCCACCAAAGGCTGAGAATGTTTGTTTTTAAGTGTTGTGTCGTTTGCTGGAAATTTCCACTTTAACTCATCAGTATCAGGTATTCATTACATGCCGTAGAAAACGTCATTATTTCATAAAGCAAACACATGCACTGAAATTAGGATTACCAACTGGTATATATGGTTTTTTTGTTTTTGTTTTTTTGCACCTCAAAACAGAATCACTATAGTGCATATCATGCTTCCCCACCTTCCTTGCTGAAGGACAAAGTACATAAAATGCTAGGGTTGTTCTCTGGACCTAAAGGAAGCCAGCTTAGTACTCTGGCAGAATTACATCCTGCTGTGGAACCCCAAGTCCCCCAGCAGGGGCTTCCTCCTCATCTTCGGGGGCCATTTCTTCCTCCAGAGCCTTCAGCTTCTCCCCTGAGCTCCTCTTCATTGCTGGGTTGTCTGTCTTCAAGTCATCCTCCAGTGCCCGAGGCGCCATCGTGGGGACCTCGTCTTGTACACCTGCATCTTTCTCCTCCTCGGACGGCGATCTCCTCATCTCAGCTGCTGTATCCTCAGCTGCCACTTGGTCCCCTTCTTGCATTTTCTTTCCCAGAAGATCTGTGTTGTCCTCTTGGGATGGATCTGGGCTGGCCTTGTGGCTCTCCTGGAGGCTGGTGTGGCTGCTGCTGGCACTTCCCAGCCGAGAAGAGGCCACCACAGCCTTCACCGCTGCCTGAATAGAGAGAGAGAGAGAGAAGTATGAAGTACTGTTTCCATGGGAAATCCCAAATTGTAGTATAATTTGTTTTCTAGGTTGGCGTTCAGTCTTTCAAAGTAAAGTAAATTATTCCAAGATTGTTCGTTAGCTAGAAAGGTATTTGGAGAAAGAACAGTAAAACCTCTTTAATTACGAATTAGAATTATTTGGTCATCTGGACAATTGAAAACATGAGCAAGATGCGTTTGCCTCTGCGTGACTTAAAGTTTTATGTTCTCCAGAGGATGTTTCATGGAATACTAGATCCATGATGCTGCCTGGTATCAGGGAAATAGGAGTTCAGTGCTCAAACTAGCTTCGGACACAGTCAAGGCAAAGCTATTTAATAGATGTCATTTCAAACTTAGACCGTGGCTCTCCTCCTATCAGCATGACAGAGATGTTAGTTTTGGCCTCTAGCTAGTCTCTGAGATCTGCTGTTTATACAGCTAGTCCTAAATGTCATGCAGATACACCTAACCACTATTCTATTTATAGTCTATAAAACAGATGTAGTTTGGGGCATAGTTTTCTGTATTTTTTTAAAGCAATTTCCTATAGTATGGAATAGTTTTAAGAGTTATCTCCTAATTACTACAGGTTCAGAAATTTCCTGAATAAATATGAGTTGCTTGAATGATGTCTTTTTTTTTTGGTGGTGGTGCGGGGGGAAGAACAGGGTTTCTCTGTGTAGTTTTGGAGCCTGTCCTGGAACTCGCTCTGTAGCCCAGGCTGGCCTTGAACTCACAGAAATCCACCTGGCCCTGCCTCTCAAGTGCCGGGATTAAAGGCGTGTGCCACCACTGTCCAGTGAATGATGTCTTATTTAGATAAGAAGCAGCAATACTGTATCTGGTGGGGGCTGGTGAGATGACCCAGTAGGCTAAGAGACAAGGCCCTGGCCACCAAGCCTGAGTTCAGAAGGCTTTGACACTTCTGGGGAAGGTGAGAACTGATTCCCTCAAGCTGTCCTCTGACCTGCACATGCGTGCTATGACACACCTGCAAGCTTGTGCACAGAGAGAGAGTAAATAAGATACACACACACACCCCACACATATACTCACACGCACATGTGCACACATGGGCACACACTTTGTAATTTAAACATATAGCACAAATATTAATGTTCTGGTTTTTATTCTAGCTCTGAATTTATTCTTTCAAGTGCTTTCCTTTTCTTAATAATGAATTCATCTCACACACACACACACACACACACACACACACACACACACACACACCAAAACAAAATAAAACAAAACCAAAAAACAAACCCTAAGTGGTTTTATGTCAGTATCTTAGGAGTTTAAAAGCAAGAATTTTCCCTGGTGTCACAGAAAATGAATAATATAGTACTCAAGGAAAAAAAGACATCTTAAGAAAAACAAAAAAACAGTAACAACAAAAACATGTGCTTTACCTTAAGCTTGCGCCGAGCATTGAATTCTTGGAGCTTCTTCTGAGCAGTGTCCATGTGCACAAAGTTAGCTGCTTTACCTGTGACCCACGGGTGCTGGAGGGCTTGAAATGTCGTCAGCCGTTTCTTGGGATCCAAAACAATTAGTTTTCTGACCTGCAGTCGTAAAGAAATACAGACTTCGAGAAACTGGGCTTCCCTTCAGACTGTGAATGTCCAGGTATTGCTCTACTTAGAGTTAATAGCACTAGCTATGAACTATTAATGTTAGCAATAGCACTGAGCACATGTTTTTGAAGGTGCTTCTGTCAGGAGCAGGACCTACCTTAGGAAAGCAGCAGCTGGGGGTGTCCCAGAAGCTGGGGCATTCACCACCTGTAGCCCCAAACTCACAGCTTTCTTCCCACAGAGGTCAAAGAGTTAGGGCCTGGCTTGTCTACCGATCAGATGCCCTTTTGAAGGCAGCGCCAGCCCTGGAATAATTCTAGGCTAAATTATGAAATCACTTAGAATTCAGAACTCCAACTCCATCTCTTTAGAATGGGCATCCAGGCACCATCTCTCTTTCGGAGGATTAAAGGGCAAACAAAGGGTTAGTATTCAAGCCCTTACTGAATACTGTTTATGACTCCCTTGAGACTTATAGTTCACTTTCCTTAACTCATTGAAAGCACCTGAAGAAATAAGTTCAGAGCTGGAATAAAAGACATGTTAGGATAAAAAGAAGGAAGTCATTGGCTTGAGGCTTATGACATGCATGGTATGTCTAAATTTAACTAATGGTAATCCATTCTGGAAGCTTTATTCTTGTTTGTGAAGACAGACAGACAGTGAGTTGACAGGAAGATCAACAAATGAAATAATTCCCAGCCTTGGGCTCAGCACCAGTGGCCTGGTATGAGGGAGGCACTCCCTGGACTCAGGGAGGCTCATGTCCTGGTTACACCTCTACCTATTCTCATGGCACAGTCACAGAAACATATGGGCTGGAAACTATTAGCTCCAACTCACAAGTGGAGAACAGAAAGATGCTCAGAGACCTTAGCTACTAAGGTCAAATACTTGGTCATTACTAGAGCTTGACTTCAAACTCAGGTCTCCAGTCTGTGAAGCTCAGCTTATGTACTACATTGTGAAGATGCCGGAGCCTCTCCAGACATCAGTCTTGTAAAATAAGATACTCTCGATCGTTTATCTAAGAGGTCTTTTCTAGCTCTAAATACCCATGAAAGAAGTGAAAACAGGTTAATGAAGTCAAACAGCAAGTTAAATAAGGAGCAAACGCACCTTACTCCCAATTTTATGAAGCTTTTTCTGTATAATGATTGCAAAGGAGTGTGTGTTTGCAGTGTGGACGCTGAGTAGCGTGAGGCCAGGATCCCTGGATTCTGTGTGGAACATACTTTAGAAGGGCACAAGAAGAAGCAGAGAGGCCAGGCAGGAAGCTGTGGCCACGGTCCAGATGGGAGAGGGTGGGAGTTGGTCTGAGTCAGTGGGAGTGGAGGAGGAAAGAAGCAGATGTATTCAAGAGATGGTCAGGAGTGGGTTATATACCCACATACCCATATAGACTGCCTCCCTTGCTACTCACATCAGAAAAGCCACAGGTCCTAAAGAATGTTCCATGAAATAACACGAAGAGAAAAGGGAGAAGTATTTGGAGGGAGGAGTCCTGGGAAAGGGGCTCTAGAAACTTGAGTGAGTGCTAATTAGTGCCTTTCTGCTGGTAATCTTTGGCACACTTAGCAAATTCATGACTAGAAAACTCCTAAAACACCCTTTAACCTTTAATGATTCAAAAATCAACTCCATTATTTTGGCACACTTTTTTTTTCTCTCCAGAGGAATGAGGGTTGCAATTGTACACAAACAGTTTCCATCGTATCCAAGCATCCTTCTGCTGGAAGGGGCCGAGCTCTTTCTCAAAGGGATTTCTTGAATATTAATGTATTAGCCTGACTGTGAAGTAGTGAAGGCAAACCATTCTATTAGCAGAGTGGATCTTGTTTATAATTCCAGTGCCACATAATCGGGCTCATGCTACTGTTGGAGTGTTTTAATAAACTTAAAATTTCTCGAAAATTCAATTATATTTATTTGAAATATATCTACATTGAGGTGAAGAAGCCACATCCAACCAGAATTCTGTGTGAACGGTGTTTGGACTCCATCATGCAGTGTTGTTTGAACGGTTCTGCAGTTACCAGGTAGCAAAGATTCTGTAACTAATGCTATGATGATTCAGCTAATGAGTACTGAAGGGACATCTGTTTTTCATTCTTCGTGAGGGAAATGCATCAGTGTTCCTTTTAAATTAAAACACCTTATAGTTATAAAGAAATGATGGGAAAAGCAGTCTATTTTAAAATGTATTTTACTATTTCTTGCTTAAAAATTATTTATGTCATTTTGTTTGGGTCACACTTACCAAGTCCTTGGCATTTAAAGATACTTCATCCCACCAGGGGGAGATAAAGTAATATTCACAATTCAGAATTCTCCTGAACATGAACTGATCACCCCTTTCGTCATAGAATGGTTCAAATCCACAAAGTCTGGAGGGGAAAAAAATAGAGTAAATACCTTTAAAAGAGGAGGTATATTCCATCAAATTTCTGTAAAAATTCAAGATCTTTCTTTCTATACTCCTTATAAGTAACTCTGCCTATACAAGTGTGTGATTGTTTTGTTGTACTTTATGATAAACAACATAAAAACACCACCTCACCTGCAGGAAGTAAGAAGAGTGAAGCCAAATTTCTTTTAAAAGCTATAACAACGCCGGGCGGTGGTGGCGCACGCCTTTAATCCCAGCACTCGGGAGGCAGAGCCAGGCGGATCTCTGTGAGTTCGAGGCCAGCCTGGACTACCAAGTGAGTTCCAGGAAAGGCACAAAGCTACACAGAGAAACCCTGTCTCGAAAAAAAAAAAAAAAAAAAAAAAAAAAAAAGCTATAACAACAACAAGCACAAAAATACAACAATTGAAATGGCTAATATTATCGACATTATGGTAATGATTTTTCCAGCAGATTTTTCTTGAAAATTAAAAGACATATTAGATTGATAGGCCTCCAATGTATATAGAATGGAAGAATTAAGAATACAGGTTTAAAAGAAGACAGAAATAGAAATCCACAAAATTAGAAGTCTGATGTTTCCATATATTAATCTAGTTTGTATTTCAGACTGAAACAAAATAGAGATAAAGCTATTAATTCAGTCGCCCCAGGCAGCCAACAGACAAGCAGCGTGGGTTGATTCCATTCCTGTAAATGACCCTCATTTTAAAGATGTCTGACCACATTCACCTACGTTTTTCTACTATAGGGTCAGTAGAAAAAGAAACAGCGTGTGAGAACGGGGAAGCACCTCTGAAACTATAAGGGAGGACAGGAAAAGCTGGAGTCTGCTCTGGGGTTTCCAAGCCTGCACTGGCGACAGAGAAGTGGCGGTTCTGATCACGAGGTGGGAAAGAAAGGCAGCTCAAACCAATCCAAGGTCTTTCCAGGGGTGGGGTCGGGAAGGACGCAGTGTTCTTTAAGGGGCTGCCCACTGGGAGTTGGACCATGCTCCAAGTGTGTATATGGGCCACACAAATTAGACTTGGTATTTTTTTTCTTTCTCTCTTTTTTCTCTCATCTTCTTTTCTGTGGGGGAGGTCACAAGGGCGGGGTGAACCTGGGAAGACTGGAAAGTGAATTGACGGGGGTGCATTATGTGAAACTCCCAAATAATAAAAATATAATGTTAGGAAAAAAACCGAAAAATGGTCTTTCCAGGCATATATTATACGTGTTCCCTTTGGAAATCAAGTGAGGAAATATGAAAAGTTTAAAAGTCATCCTCTTCGATTCTTCCTCTGAGCCAGCCAGGTAGCTACAGAGCATGGAAAAACGAAATGCTTCCTGAAATGCCAGCTTCTGGGAAGAAGTCACTTCTCATGTCCTTTGTGCTCATGAAATGTTGCCGTGGGAGGGTATTTGTCTCACACAAACATTCTGGAGCCACCTGGGAGAAGGCGGAACTAGGAGTGAAAAGCCTCAGCAGGGCACTCTCTCGTGCTAAGTGTTCAGAGAACCCTACACCTGACCCACCTGTGCGAGGGGAGTGTAAGCACACAGGGGTGAGGAGGTCCCTTGCCTTGACTCTCCTAACCTCCCTAATGCTAGGAAGGTGTTGCCTGCTACTGGTTAGTCACGGAGAAAGCAGGCAGCCTGTTCAGGAGGGTCCTGACATTCCCCATTCTGAAATCCAAAGACAATAGGAATTCAAAAGTCACAGTCCTCAAACGACTTCATCTCAGTCATATCAAGGGCTCTTCTTTGATGACAGAGGCCGACAACTGACATCATGTCAGCCTGAAATGTCAGAACGGAAGGACTGCAGCAGCACAGAGTGGGAATCATGTGTACACACATGGTGTAGCGCTCCCTCGGTGGTACTGCAGTCGAAGTCTAAGCAATCACGGGGGTTGTACAGGGCCCGGCGTATAAATGGGCTGAATAGGGTGGCTCCCAGCCTTTGGGATTAACTGTAGTGTTGAAAATTGAAGGAAGGTTGTACAGGACATCCATCTGATTGCTATGGCCATCAGATGCCAAATGCTACAGCTCAAAAGTAAAAGGTCCAGAACTCCCGGGACAACCAGTCACGGAACTTTGTTTCCAAACTAAAATCACCTTCAGAAATAGCGAGGCCATGGCACAAAATAGACAGTGGTGGTGAGCAGAAACTGTAAGGAGTGAAAAGTATTAAAGCAGCAGTTGCCACAAGAGGAGGGGCGGAGCGGACAGAGGTCTCCATGTCAACAAGAATTAGGGGCTAGGGAGATGGCTCAGCTGTCTCAGCGATGCAAGTATGAGGACCTGAGGTTGATCCCCAGAACCCACATTTTAAAAAGTTAGGTGTGGTGGCACACACTTGCAATCTCAGCAATGGAAAGGTCAAGACGGTGTGCTCGCCGAGCAATTTAGCCTACTTGGAGAACTATAGGTCAGTGACAGACCCGGCCTCAAAAAGTGATAGACAATTAGTTCCTAAGAAATGATACCTCAGGCTGTCTTCTGGCCTTCACATGAGTGCACACATAAGTACCTACGTATACACACATACATGTGCACCCACACAAACACATGCACACACATGAAGTAACAATTGTCTATTGATGAATTTATGAAAAGATAAAGCCCAGAGTTTATGTACATATATAGAAGTGGATAAAGAATAGGTCCTCATTTGGGCAATGATATTGAGACTTAAGTGATGTTCACACAATAGCTTTCCCAGGCAGGCATCAACAGAATAGATCCCAATGCTACCCTTACCCCCATTTCTCCTCTCCTTTGGTTCTGAACCACCCAGCGCCATAATCCAAATGTCTAGATGGCACAGCCTCAAGTCACCAGTCCCCCACTAAGTGGACATAAAGGCTAAATAAAGGAGACATGTGAGTCCAGTGGTACAGTCCACAGAAATGCCACGATCCTTGCCGGGTGGACGTCACAATAGTATGGACTCCAGGTAAATGAAATGTCCACAGACGCAGGGCTGACAGAGGTGGGAAACTGAAAGACATTAGTCATGGGCGGCACCGTCGTTTCATCCATAACCTACTATAGGCCTAAGTGTATGAAAATGTAAGAAATACAAAAATGAATTTGTCTGATTTGGTAATGGACTAGGGGGAAGTTGTTTTCAAGGATATGGTCTCATTTCCTGCTTCCTTTCCCATGACAGTGGCCTTTCCATGGACTTTTACTTATTGTGCCTTACAGGTTTTCAGAGTGAATGCAACTCAGTGTTCTATTTTCAGGTCCCTCAAGTTCTCTTACAGCATCGAGGCTTCGACCCTTTAGGGTACATTTCAATCCAAAATTATAACCTGGGACATGTATGTTCTAGAGACAAAAACGAATCCGTATTTGTGTATGTCTTGGAGTTTTACTGCTGTGGTGAAACGCTATGATGAAAGGAACCTGGGGAGGTAGGGGTTTATTTCAGCTCACACTTCCAGGCTGGAGGTGATGCAGAGGCCGCGGAGGGGGGCTGCTTCCTGGCTTGCTCCCCACGACTTGCTCAGCCTGCTCTCTTACAGAACCCAGGACCACCAGACCAGGGATAGCACCACCCACAATGGGCTGGACCCTCCCCTATAAGCCACTCACTAAGAAAATGCCTTACAGCTGGATCTTATGGAGTCATTTTCTCAGCTGAATTTTCCCCCTTTCAGATGACTCGAGCTGACATAAAACATAAAAGGACAGCATAGTTTGGGTTTTTCACTTCCTATCATGAAGTACTTTTTGTTGTAGAATATTATTTTAAGGTATATTACTTTTCTTTATGTTGCGTTTTTTTAAACTCTGTCTAGTTGTGTTACTTTGCCTGTCTAAAACACCTGATGGGTCTAATAAAGAACCGAATGGCCAATAGCAAGGCAGGAGAAAGGATAAGTGGGGCTGGCAGGCAGAGAGAGTATAAATAGAAGGCGAAATGTGGGAGGAAAAAAAGAAGTAGCCAGAGAAGGAGGAGGACTTCAGGGCCCAGCCACTCAGCTACACAGCAAGCCATGGAGTAAGGTAAGATTTACAGAAGTAAGAGAATGGGAAAAGCCCAGAGGCAAAAGGTAGATGGGATAATATAAGTTAAGGAAAGCTGGCAAGAAACAAGCCAAGCTAAGGCTGGGCATTTATAAGTAAGAATAAGCCTCCATGTATGATTTATTTGGGAGCTGGGTGGCATCCCCCACCCCACAAACAACAACAACAACAACAACAAAAGAGCCAATAACCCAATAACCAAACAACAACTTTTTTTTTTTTTGAGACACGTTTTCCACTGTGTAGCCCTGGCTGTCCTGAAACTCACTTGGTAGATGAGGCTGGCTTCAAACTCAAAGATCTGTCTGCCTCTGCCTCCTGAGTGCTGGGATTAAAGGTGTGTGCCACCACTGCTCAGCATCATAAAGTATTCTTGCACAAAGCTCAGGAGCTAAGATTCTCTCTCTCTTTGCCATGTGGGGACACAGTACAAAGGAACTTTTCTGAAAACTCAGAAGAAGCTACTCTACAGAGCCCAACTCTGCAGCCACCCTGACCTCAGGCTTCCAGCCTCTAAGACAATGAAAAGGTAACTTTCTCTTGTTTAAGTTATTCTGCTATGCATTGAGTGAGGGTAGCTCACCTATGATAATGGGCTCTTTGGAACCCTGGAAAATCTTTCTGTACAGCTTCATATTATGGGTTCCCAAAACTATCTGCATTCCCTTCAAAATGGCCAACGTGTGTGCTTACTGTGCGTTAACTCTTGGGTGCACTGATATCTCCCTTTAGGCTTTCCACAGCCACCTTCCCATATGATTTCCCTCACTATCACCTCCAATTCCATCACCACTTTGCAAATTTCCTGAAATTATTTTTTATTAGACAGCAGCTTGGTAATGGAGTTGGAGTGAACAGAGAATGAATTATCAGGCCATTTGATTCAGTGTTAAGCCCAAGGCCCTTGAAATCTTAACATATAGGAAAATAAATCAATAGGTAAATGTGCTTGAAATATTCTGATATGAAACATGCTACTTGGGGATTTCTTAAGAAACAAATAACAGATATCTTAAAAGGGCTAACAGTCTGTTTAAAAAGATACAAGTAAATAAAACCAGAGAGTGTGACAAGTGAACTTGAATTTCACATTTATTATGCTCATTAAATATTTCCCCAAATGTAGGTAATATTATATAGGAAAATCAGTTAAGGAAAAGCCCCCAGAAGCCTCTACCCTCCAGGGAAATGATAAAGTAAAAAGTAATACTGATTTTGAGACTATGCTATTGGCCTGGTTAGTGTAAAACAGAACATCACATCATTTGAGACTACGCTATCAGTGCAGTTATTGTAAAAAGGAACATCACAAAAAGTCAAAGGTCAGAGGGTAACCTGGATTGTCATGAGAATTACTAATACCTAGAAAATGTTATACAAAGGCGGTTTGCATAGAGGTTGCTTTTCGTCACTTACAAGATGTAGGTGATTATCCCTACAGACCACATGTCCACCTCAGGTCCATAGGCACAGCCCCGGAGAATCTCAGGCGCTGCAGAAAGATGGAGAACGAGGTTAAATGGGAGCATGCCCTCAATGCTCACATTTTAATTGCAACCAATGGGGAGAGACAAATTCCCAATCAAACTTCTGAATTCTCATCACCAAGCCTCTCTCCCATAGCCACAGCAGAATGAACAAATTCTCACATCTATTTCTGCAGGAGACACTGCAGTCTTGGTCTGTCATGGGTGCACAAGAATAATTCTACTAGCAATCAAATTCTGCATTGCAATGTCATGATACAGCTAAATAAAATGGGTAGAGGTGTATCTTTGCTACAAAAAAACCCTCTTACTCTAAAGGGCACTTTATACCCAGACAAGGAAGAAATGAAGCAAGAACTACTTGAAGCAGTGGGTATGCACCGAGTGCGTGTCTGGGGGCAGGGAGCAGACTATGAGAAGGGTATGGGAAACTCTAGCACAAGAAGGTTGGCAGAGGAGGAGGAAAGGGCTCTGACACACATCTTGGCCTTGATGCTCTATGTCAGTCCCCAGAAAACACTGTCCCCAGTGTTCTTGAGGTCATGACCTGAGAAAGGAGGCCTTTCCTCTATGCGTATCAGGGCGTTTTCTATTAGCTTTTCTCTGCTGTTGGGGTAGGAGGGCCTTCTCAACCTTGGCATGGCCTTGGAGAGAAGACTATAATGATCTTTTACATTTTTATTACCAGAGAGATGTGAGAATTAGAGGCTACTGGGTCTGGGGGTTTGCACTGAGTCCTGGGGATGCGTTGTTTACCTAACTCACAGAGGAAGAGCAAGAGAGCCAATGCACCACCACCTGTAGAGAGATGGGGTCTATTAGCCCACTGTGTATTCTTTAGTGCTGGAGATGCTCCTGGGGCCCCTATGGGGTGAGCTGCTTGGTGCACGCTGAGGGTCTTTGCAGTATGTCCGGGCGACCAGAACACCACATTCCTCTGGATGGGGCCTCTAGAATCAGTAAATTGGATCTACTGTCTTCACTAGAAAGACAGCAGTCTAGACCAGAGGTTTTCAACCTATGGGTCATGACCTCTTTAGGGGGTTGAACGACTCTTTCCCAGGGTTCACTAAAGACCATTGGAAAACACAGATTTCACATTACAGATTACATAATAGTAGCAAAATTACAGTTCTGTAGCAGCAATAAAAATAACTCTATGATTGGGGGTCACCACAACATGAGGAACTGTATTAAAGGGTCGCAGCATTTAGCAAGGTTGAGAAGCACTGGTCTAGACCATCCGCTTGAGCTCTGGAAGGAACCTGTGTTCAATGAACTCTGGGTTGACCGGAAAGGTTGCTGGTGGCTTTCACTGTTACCCTCCACTCCATTCTTCTTCCTTGTAGAATTGTGCTATACAAAATATAGAAAAGAAGTCGCCAAGCCAGAACTGTGAAGGGGATGTGCGCCAATAGCTGGAGAAGCCACTCAGGGAGATGGACCCTTCAAGGAACTGCATCTGGATCCAAACAGGTTTTCTTATCTACAGTTGAATACAATTATTCCTCGGGGAAAATGTCCTTTTAAGATTTAATAACATTAGAAAGAATGCTTCCCCAGTTTTTCACTGTAGAGTAACTTTCATTTCCTGGGGGAATTTGCGCCACATGGAAGGAGTCTATGAGTCCCAGTAGCAGACAGAGAACTCCCCCTGCACGTCTTTGTTTAATCCTTGGGCCAAGTGACCTCAGATTTGGCTGCCACCTCCTGGAGGGTCTCTGTCACCGGCTTCCTAGAGCTGGTCCAGTGTGGAACAGGGAGCATAGCAGGCATTTGGTTGGCACGGTGAGTGGTATCTGCCCTTGCCCACTCAGGCCCTGATATCAGAGACCCTGATGAGAACCCCATATCAATGTTGGCAGAAGCTTTTACATTTCGTGAGACTCGGTGTTTTTGTTTGTTTGTTTGTTTAACCTTTCAAATCTAACTGAACTGGACTAGCTCCAATTGCCAAGTTAACATGGAGTTTTAACCTGCGATTTAGTGAATGATTACCTACTGATCCTTAAGCACAGAGCAGCAGGAGATGTACTCCGCACAGAGCCTGCTCTATCGCATTTCTCATTTATCCTGCTAGTCAAAGCTCTGACACAGGTCAGGTGTTCTGTCCTGCTCTCTCTCACAGCACCCAGCCAAGAGCCCTGCAGCATGTGAACACCTAGGAAGAAGTCTCCTTTGTATTCCTCTACAGAGCAGCTGCAATGTTTCTCTGACACAGGAACATCTGCTTCTGTTCCCCATCACTGTACGAACACACCCTCCAGTAGCAGAATAGTTCTCCAGAAGGCATTATCCTCTACTGAGTCAACTTGGGGGGCTAAAGCTTAACTGAAGCACAGGGAAGACAAGAGGTTCTTGTCTTCCTTAATAAATTTCTCTTAAACTATTTTTCATAAAGGAAGGCACTTATAATATCTTTTGTTTGGGGGAAGGGCAGGGTTTCTTTTTGTAGCCTTGGCTATCCTGGAACTCACTTTATAGACAAGGCTGGCCTCAAACTTACAGAAATGCACCTGCCTCTGTCTCCCAAGTGCTGGGATTAAATGTGTGTACCATCACCACCCGCCCTAGAATTTATAATCTCTTAACCTATATAAAATTGAGGTCAAATAAAAAGTAAGTCAATTTCGATTTTAAATCAATTAACTATTTTACGTAGTATAATCGCTAAATCAATTAACTATCTTAAGTAGTATTAAGTATTTTCAAATACTAGTTAGTATGACCTTGGCTTTCTTTGGAATCAGCTCATATCACTTATAATCTATCTGAACCCTTTACATAACAGAAAGCCTTATCCAAAAGCTTTTCAAAATCAATGTCAGTTTCTGGCACACCAGTCTTCATGTCCCCTAGGTATCAGATATCCCACAACTGATACTAACAATTTGTCATCCCCTTAGAGCAGGAACAATAGAGAAGCAGTCAGCTCATTTCTATTTGGTAAAGATATCAAACCAGATGTGATGGCACACACCTGTAATCCCAGCATTAGGAAGTGGGGGCAGGTGGACCAGAAATTCAAGATCACTTTCCATACATCAGAGTTTGAGGTCAGCCTGGACTACATGAGACTCTATCTTAAAACAAAACAAAAACCAGCAGGAAGGACCTCATCCTGCCTTTCAACGCTGTGAATACTTAGTTCGCCCTCACACTTTTTCTCCCCCAACTCCCCAAACAAACCAATAAAATCTAGAGACAAAGTCCTTTCAGGGCATAAACCTTTTGTTCAGATGCTCTTTAGTGGCAGGGCATGTAGCTCAGTGGTGGAATGCTCAGCTAGTATGCCCAAAGGCAGGAATTTCATACTTATCACTAAAAGAGGAAAAGTATTTTACATGATGGACAATCGATCATTTTTTCTGATGATAATCATTTATTGACTTTTGCTGGCTGTCTTCAAAGTGACCTGAAGCTGCCTGCCACTTTCTAAAATTAGCTTATCATTCAAGTTAGTAGCCATGAAACGGCCGTTATAGAGCCCCTAGCACATGGGCCCGCCCACTGTCAGGGCAGCCGAGTTTTAGTAAACCTGAGAATTCCCTGAATGTCAGATATGCCCTTTAAAAAAATCAATTTGGCTAGGATATAAAAACTACACAAAAGTTCAAACTGGATGATATTTATTTACTATCTCCTAGATCACAGAGTGCTAATTTTTTTTCAGTTGGATGATAGAATCATTAAAACATCTAGAGATGGAAGATCCACCTAGAAATTGTGATGGACTCAAACAAAAGCACTCAACCAGTCCTGGAAATGGCATGTGGCTTCTTACTGTGGCCACAGGCGCTGGACAGCTCCTCTTTTCCAGAGGCCCTTGGAGAAAGCTACTGGCACAATTTTGGTTCTTGACTGAGGCCTTTATTCTATCACTGCTTCAGGCAGGCTCCATCACCCTTTCCTACTTACTGGGTTAGAGCCACAGAGGGGCATTTGGTGATAAGACTTTTCAAGCTACTAGTAACTCTTTTGACGACAACAGATTTGGAGTAAACTAAGGAGAGTGCATACAAGGTATGCCTGCGATCGGTCACTCCATCAGTCATCAAATATTTACTAAGCACTTGGTAGTTAGGGGTCCTGGGAAATCATAAGGAGCAAGCCCCAACCATAGCATAAATTACGGCTAGTCAGGGAGGTAAATGTTAAATAAAAGTAAGCCCCTAGAAGGGATGCAAGGGTGGTTGCTGGCAGTCCTTGGAGGAGGATGTCTTCCATAGGGGTTAACAGGGTCACTCCTGTCATGGAGGAAGCAACGTCCACATTGAGATGTGCTGAACCTAGAGAAGTTAACGAGGCGAGTGGGGGGAGGATGGTTGAGGAGAGACGGCAAAGAGGTTCGCGGGGAAGAAGCAAACATGCAATGGTCCACGGCAGGATGGAGCAAGGCCTGGCTCAGGACCGCAGTGGGGCTGGGGGGGGGGGTGGCTACGCTCGCCAGTGAGGCAGTCAGAACCAGCGATTTTCTTTCTTACGACGTCTCTCCTCTACCTTTGCTTTGGCAAATCAAAACACAGGGGGGCGAGGAGCACGGTCTGTACATCTTAAAGCTTAATCTGACTTTCCAGAGTCCCCTATTCCAGAGCTCAGGGGGAAACACTGCCGCCGTTTTCACTGGAAAGCCTTGCCTTGGAATTAAAAGAATTTCTGGGAGCCACAAAGATCCAGTGTAATTTTTCTTTTCTTTTCACGTATGTGTAGGTACATGTGTGGGGCAGGTGCCCACGTATCTGAGTGAACATGTGGAACTCAGAGGACAATCTTGGGTGTCATTCCTCAGAAGCTGCCCACCATATTCTTGTGCGGCAAGGTGTCTCACTGGCCTATGGTTGGCAACATTTGCTGCTCTGTCTTCTACTTACGGAATTCACAAGCGCACACCGCCACATCTAGCTTTTCACACGGATCCTGGGGAACAAACTCAACACACACCACCACACGTGGCCTTTCACATGTATTCTAGGGACCAAACTCCGATTCTCCTGTCTGAACGGCA